GCTGTGGCTTGTGTGATCTCTGCTGTGGCTTGTGTGATCTCTGTTGCGGCTTGTGTGATCTCTGCTTCGGCCTCCGCCTTCAGCTTCAAGGTCTTCGTGGCATTCAAGTAAGAGATCACCCTTAGACCAATTTGGTGGACCTTCACAGGCCTTTTTGAGGTCATCGATGCCATGTAGTTCGTGATGTACAGGATGTCCGGCCTTGTTCGGTAAGCCAACCACAGGCATTCACCTGTGATTTTCTGAGCTTTCCTTAGCTCATCATCGCTGTAGTTCTCGGTCGCGTCCTCTCCGTTGTCATCATCATCTTGAATCCACTCACGGGGACATGGCAAACCGGATGACACCTCAGAGTCCAAATTGTGCAGCCGGACAAGGTTAGAGACATAGGCTTCTTGGCCTAGAGTAATCACGGCCTCCTCCTGGAACAATTCCATACCAAGGTAGCGCAAGCCCTCCGTTGAGAACTCCAAAGGCGAGCAGGGCCATGTAGTGGCAATTACCCCGTGTAGCCGAAGAATTGTATCCTTGTTGGCCAAATACAGGAGATCGTCAACGTAGGTGACGAGTAAGCCCACCAGCTGTGGGATGCCACCATCAGGAGTCCACAGCACCATCCACAGCTCGCCATCCGTGGCCAGCTGCTTCAGCCACATGAAACCATTGCCACACTTCACCTTGATCTTCTTCAAGACGCTTGTGCGATGAGCCGACCACAAAGCCGGGCTCTCTCGGAGCCCATACAAGGCTCTCTTCACGATGAACACAACGTTCGCCGACACCAGCCCTGATTGGACCAAAACCTTAGGTGGGAGCACCCCATAGGTTGGTCTCCCTTCCGGCCACAAAGCCTGTAGAAACGCCGCGCTCACATCCGTAGCCGCTGCTATCCACAGCCTTGCCGATGCCAACGCTAAGCCCAGACGTAGCCCTTCAACGCTTGCACCAGCGGCAAAAAGGTCGTTGGGATCATGCTTCTGGCTGGCCATGTTGCCACAGATAACAATCCGCGCCTTGCGTTTCCAACGCGGTGTCTTCGATCCTCGTTGCTCTGCTTCCGAAAGAGGGGGTGGTGGCTTCACAGTGAAAACCACTTTGCCAGGTATGAGGACCAAAAGGCCATCGCGCTCCATCTGGCGAGCCTCCTGGATCGTCTTCCGCTCGATAGCGTTCGTTTTCTCCTCGAGGTTGGACAACTCCTTGCTCATAGGCTCAACCCATTTGTCCATGTTGGCCTTCACTTGGTCCAACGGAACGTCCAATGTCACGTCCAGATCCTTCTTCAGATTCGCGAGGTGCTCCTCAATATCACCGATATTGGTCTCGTCCGTAACATTGGCAACCCTGAGGTAGAGGGAGTGGCACTTCTCCTCGGTGAGCTTGATCTTCTCCTCTACATCCCGAAGTAGATCCCGAACTGCACCATTGATGCCCTCGATCTCCTCGTTGATCGTTCCCCCGACGGCCTGTAGCTCCTCAGCCAGGATCTCCTCCTCAGCCAGGAACTCCTTCAACCATTCCTGCCTCTCCCGCAACTTGGCAAGAACATCGTCTTGTAGTTGGCATAGTTCCCGACTCACATCTCTTGCCCTTTCGCGGTTCTCCTCCTCAACCTCATTGATAAGGAACATCACTGCGTCGGGCTCCCTCTGACTATCCATAGTCATCATCTTCAAGACGGCTCGTTGGAGTTCGTCGGGAACCTGCGGTGGTAGTGGAGGAGGTTTGAACCCGTACTTGCAGAGGATGTCGTAGGTCGGTTTGGTCATCTTTGTAGTCCTCGGGGTGTAGGTTGTTACGACAAGCCGCCTTCCTGTCCATGGCTCAGTAGAGTGGTACATCTTCGGGTTGATCTCAATGGGAACACCTCTCTGTAGTTCGTGAATCCGCCCCCGGCGCCATCCACCTCTAGGGAGTTCCTTCCATTCATCGGCGTAGTCATAGTCCCGAGGCTGTGATTCAACCCAAACACCGCCTCCACTGTCACATTGTAGTACAGGAAGAAGTACATTGTTGCGTTGGCCATGGTTGTGCACATCACGGTGGCAACTCATCCCCACATCTTCCGTGATCAATAGTGAGGTGAAGTCATCATGACCCGTCAGTTTCTTGAAGGCCTGCACCAGATACATAGTGGCAACCGGGTAGAGATCCGTGTCCCGCACAACTCCACATAGGCTTCCGTAGGTGTACTGGCCCACCAACCATTGAAGACCATTGCCTTGAGTAGTCCTTGTCGTTGGCCTTGCCTTCGTTCGCAAAACATTCCACAACGCAACCACGTCATCCAAAGTGAACTTCTGGTGGTCCAGGAGGTCCTTGGCGAACTTGTCGATCTCGTTGTCGGGCTCCTGGAGCAGTTGGGCTAAGGTGGCCTTTCCTCGAACTCGCCGTTCAGGCACTGGTAGTTCCATTTCGTAGGGCCCGAACTCGACCAGGTCACCCGGGTCGAACAAGTAAGGCTTGATGTGAACTGAGGTAGTATAGGTTCCATCCGGGTGGCGAACCACTCTTCCATTCTTCACATCATTGGAGTATCCCACAAAGACTCCCTCGCACCAGCGTTCCAGTAGATCATACCGCCCACCTTGACCAAACTGCTTGTGCTTCACGTGGGTGGGGGCACCAAAGGGGAGGTCTTTGTCCTCGTGGTTTCCCAAGGCCAGATCTCGCTGTCTTCGGGCTGCAAACTCGGCTGCTAAAGGCCAGCACGACATGGGCAAATGAGCTGCTCGCAAGAGGACCTTCACTCTGCGCTTGACATCCCGAACCAGGGCCTCGGCCCGTCCATTCTGTTGTGGCTGCTGGCTTTCACCAGTGGTGGACAGGATATCGCGATCCGCCATCCACGTTCGGGTCTCCTTGGCCTTGAGCTCGAGTCCCCTATCCGAGTGAATACGGACCAACGGGAGTCCATGTTGGCGCAACTGCAAGTAGATCTGCTGGATCTTGGCCCGCACCTCCTTCGATGTCCTGGTGGCCATTGGCACCACAAAATGCAGTGTTTGGCACTCGATGTCGTCACCAATGTCCCGGTAGATCTCCTTGTAGCGTTCGTTCATTGCCCTTTGCTCCTCGTCATCCTCGTCCTCCGGACGGGGTGCTACATCCTCCTCCTCGAAAGGGTCCAGCTCGGGCTCCACCTCCTCCTCTTCCTCGACTGGAGGGAGCTTCACATCACGTGGAAGCTCAAGCTTGGGATGGCTGTAGGCGCCGACGAGGAGGTAGCGGTACCCCTTGCCATCTGGGGACTCCCCCCGAGTACGCATAGGGCCGCATATGTCCAAAGACAAAGTGTAGGAGCTTGGAGTGAGGCACCGTCGATGGGCCCGGCCAGTCGCGCTGGCACGCACACATGTACGGCACCTCTTGTCATAAGGAACGTGGTTGTTCTTGATGTGGTTCTGCCAATAGGCCAAGTCCTTGGCGTTGAGATCCCGGGATCCCACAACCTTGCAGAGCGTGGCTTCATGTCGCCGTAGGTCACTTCGGCGCCAACTCACCATTGACTGGGCCAGGCCTGCTTTCAAAGTCGTGGGCCACGAAGAGGCTGGGGTGTTGTAGTTGAGCGTGATGATTTCGGCCTCCTCAATATTCATTCCCTGGGACACCTCCAAACTTGAAGCCAAGAAGTACATGTTGCCCTGCACAGCCACGGAGTGGTACTTCATGAATCGTAGTTCATCACGGAAAATTCAACCAAGCACTACTTGTCCAGATCGGGTGCCAGGTTGGAGCCTCCATCGTGAAGTGGGGGGCACACAGGGCTTGTTGGACTGCACCAGAGTTGGCCACTAGCCATGTCAACATCAATCTCTTGAACAACGTTGACCCATGCTCCGAACCACGTGGTGGGCCACCGACGACGCCCTCGATCTGTCCACGCGCTGCTGCCCATAAAAGAGCCCGGGCTGCGGGTCCATACGTTCGGAGATCAAACCCCTTGGACGTTCTCACATCCATTCGGACCACCATAACATCATCGGACTCTGCATAGGTGAACTCAGGTCCTTGCTCATCTCCATTGAACAAGTGCACAATCCACCTCGTCCTCAGAATTCGCTTGCGCGTAGCTCGGTTGTAGGGGAGAGACTTCAAGTAGAACGCGCCCGCCTCGTCTGATAGCAGGATCTTCTCCTCCACTCCTACCAGGACTGCTATCTCCTCCTCCGTAGCCGCCTTGATGGGAGCCTCGTCGTCCATAAGCATTCGCCGGAGGCATGCTCGCTTACCCGTGGCCACAAACTCCTCCAAGTGGTCCAGCCAAGTTGTCGGAGTCTCATCCGTCACCAGCGCCTTGATCACTCCCTCAGTGGTCTGGGCCTTTAACTTCTGGAGTTCCACCTCTTCAAGGTCCGAGATAAGCTGCAATGCCTCCGCTTCCCGGAGGACAGGCGTGTTGCCCACGAGTTTCGTGGGGAGGAGCCCATGACGTGGATGACGGACTTGTAGTCCTCGCTTCCTTGACCACTGGAGTTCGCACCCCAGAGAGCTTACCAAGCTTCCCAGCGGCAGTATTGTGCCACTCTGTTCGGTTTCAGCGAGTAGTGTGCCGCCGCTGTTTTGTCTCAACGAGACGGTCTTCCCGTCCGCAAGCTGCACCTGAACCCTTCTCGAAGAGGTTCTCTCTTCTAGCGACTTTGGCACTCGGAAAGGGTGGGAGGCACCTGAATCAAGAAGAGCCATTCCCTGGGATTCGCTGAATCCCTGCGATCTGAGCAACAACTCCAGGTCCACCACCGCATTGTCGGTCTGGGTCTGCATCGGTGCCAACCGCTTGATCTTCGCAAGAAACTGCTCCGCCAGCTCCCGGATCTCGCCCGTGTTCGACTGGTCCTGGAACAAAACAGTAGAGGCTGCCGACGACGTACCGCTGGAGGTGGGCTGCTGGGTAAGCTGAGGATCGAGCGTGGTAGAGGGCGACGTTGTAGTCGCCGTAGACATCGCGGTTCGGGACGGATGCTCCAAAGTCGATGTAGCTGAGGTAGAGGGCGTAGGGACCTGCATTGTTGAGGGCAGGGGGTTGTTCAGGGATGCAATCTGCGGTGCAGTCGTAGTAGGTGACGTGGGCTCGCCTTGGGATCGTTTCTCGCTCGAGCCCTTGCTCCCTCGCTTCCCCCCACTCCTCGTTGGGCACTCTGCTTGCCTGTGGGTTGTAGCCCCGCACGTCCAGCATCTGGCCTTCTTGTCCTCCTTGCTGGCAAAGGCATGCGTGAACTTGCAATTGGCACCACGGCGGCACCCTTCATCAGTAGCCCAAAACTTACAGGGTGGCTGTTGCTTCTGTCCCTGGCCCTTCCCAGTCGGAGAAGTGGATGACGAAGGCGTCCTCGGATCCACGCTCGCACCCTTCAGCTTAGCGATCTGGTTGCTAAAAGGGATCACCTGTTGGAGCTCCGCAATGACATGGTCCGCGTACGTGAGCACCGCGGACAAGGCCGGCTTGTAGGGAAGCCCGAGCTCACTCTTAGCCATGTTCAGCTTGAAACTGATGTCCTTGTTGTTCTCCGTGAGGTTCTTGATGGCCGCCTCCAGTGCAACAAGGAGCACACTTCCATCGGGCAGGGAGACTCCCATTTCAGCTGCTCGGCCAATGAGCTTCTTCCACTTGTGGAGCGCGGCAATCATCTCTACGACGTTGTTCTGGGGCTGGATATGCTCAAGCTGCTTGATCAAGCTTGCCCTCTCGCTCGCGCCTCCAGGGGCGTAGATTGTGAAGAGCTTGAAGAGGCAGCTCTTGACCTTGTCAATCCGCAGCATGGTGATCTCCGCCTTGATCGTCGAGTTCATTGTGGCCAAGAGCAGCGCCATCACTCGCCTTTCCAGGCGAACCCACTTTTCTCCATCCACCGCCTCATCGTTGCCGACAGTTATGGAAAGCCTCTTCAGGGGGGTCTCGGCCTGGAACTTGTAATACGCCATCTTTGCCAGTTCCAAGTTCCCAAGCCACCAGTTGGTGGCCTTGTCCGTGATGGATCCGATCAACTGGCCCGCCTCGTAGATCCATTCCAAGAACATCACAGCACTGGAGTCCTGGTAGGGCTCCGGAAGCACGGGCAACGTGATATTGCCCTTGAGCAGCTCAGGGTCCTGGAAATCCTTCTTGAGCTGCAACTGTTGTAGCTGTTGGATGCCTTGGGCCAGCAAGTCCATCGACGCCATCGGACTCTTGTCCTCTGCGCTCTCCTGGCCACCGATCCCTGCCCTCCCCGAAGGAGCGGCTTCAGAAGTTCCCTTAGACTTTCCTGCAACATCTTCACCGTTGCCGCCTTCGGGACTGACTCCTGATGGACTGGTACCCCTGGAGCGTAGAGCATGCCCCTCTCGTTGTCACGCCTGATCCCCAAGTTCTCGACGAGAAGGTACAGGTAGGCCGGGAGGAGCACGGAGACGCCCGCCTCCGTCCTCTCGTTCAGCACGAAGATCCCCTCGCATCGGTGCGCCTTGGCCTCTGGCTTCCCCAAGGTTTGTTCCCTTGTCATCAGAAACACCCTGGGCATTCACAGCCGTAGGCCTCGCCTCACCGCCTGCTCCCTCCGTACTTGCATTGATCATCGCCATCAAAAGCTGTTTCAGCTCCGCATTCTCATTCTGCAGCTCGCTCACCTTCGTGTCACGACCCTGCATAGCTAGCTGCACCGCCTTGCGTACCTCTTCCTGCACAACCTCTGGCTGCAAGGATCCCGTTGACGACTGGTCGCCGTGGGCCTCGCTGTGTCCGGGCTGCATCAACCTAGGTTGTTGTTCAGGTCGAGGGATCTCCGGGGTGGTAAAGGTCGGTGTAGCTATAGACCAGGTTGGGGACTGAGAGTACCATGAGGTAGGAGAGGCCGTAGGGTGCGGGCGCATCCGTTCCAAACCACGCTGGACCATGTTCCGAATCCGTGCAAACCAAATCATCTGGTCGCCCGTGGTATCTGAAATCTCACCCGTCTCCATTGCGGTCATAGACTCAACACCCTCAGAGTTTGTAGATGCGATGACCCTGGACGCTCGAGCATGCAAAGCCGCTACCAGAGCACTCCTCTGCTCGGCCAACTGGTTCAAAGCCATCTCGCTTCCACTGAGGACACCCGCGGTGGACACCTGCGCTGGAGCCGCTGCCGCTGTGGTCCTGGGCTGCTGCTGCGAAGTAGTAGTAGGTGCTTCTACCATCGGTGTGGGTGGGGTGCTGATGTCGTAATGTTGGGTTGTAGCTGCAGGTAGGGCTGATGTGGCTCGCTGCTGCTGCTGCTGCTGCAGTTGTTGGTGGCCTTGCCTGCTACGGAGCCCCAAAACCTCACCCTGAAACCTTCGTACATTCGCGCCCGGTCCGGTTGCAGCACTCTGTCCAGTGATAGCGTTCGCGCCCGATCCGGTTGCAGCGTCCTGTCCAGTCCTGGCGTTCGCGCTTGGTCCGGTGGCAGCGTCCTGTCCAGTCGTGGCATTCACGCCTGGTCCGGTGGCAGCGTCCTGTCCAGTCGTGGCGTTCGCGCCTGATCCGGTTTCACCAACCACACTGCACACTGCACCACGGAAGGGAGCCGTTGCTCCCAAACCGCTGCCACGCGGTTGATCATCTGCGTCATGCGAACCCGTCGGAACAGTCCTTCCTCCAGGAGGTAGTGGATCTTGAAAACCAACCACACCATTCGGAAAAAACTGCCCTTCAGCCATAGTTCGATTCATATTGCGATCCTCATGGGGGAATGGGAGGCCAGCTCCACCGGCGTCCACTCCTCCATAGGTTGGCACTCTGGCCGCCATGCTGTCTCTTGGTCCGCCAAGCACGAGGCTTGGGCTCATAACCTGTGGAGCTTCACGTTCCGGTTGTAGTCGGTTGTTCATAGCGGAGTGGAACCGTGATACATGACAGACATGGCTTCGAATTGGAACTCTCTATTTTCACGCGATGACAGAAAGTGCATCTTATCTTCTTGAAGAACTCGAGTTAGAACTATACAGATAAAAAGGGGGTCCTTGACAACATCTACCTGCGGGGTGTACAAAGATGCAGGGACGTTGTCCTAGGACATCTTGGGTTCTCGCTTCCTTGAGCTCTCACCTCGGCGGGAAGCACGGAACTGCGGCTAATTCTCATCATCA